AACTCAGTGTCTGGCTCGTGTTTCCTTGGCAGCCGGAACCGCATCATGTTCGGTGTTGGATCTGGTGGTTCATATTTCATGAAAGCTGGTCTCTTCTTCTGCACATTGTGGTACTCCTAGCATAGGGGAATGAAATTAATGCCGGAATACTGAAACGTTACTCAATTTTAAGTCGTGCTTAAATATCGTGCCATCTCTGTCATTTTACAAAGAATTTGTAGAGACAGAACTATACTTAACTCGTCGAGTACCGTTATTATAGACACAATTATAGAACAATAGGTTGCGGTCACCGGTGACCGCAACCTATTGTTTGCAGCAACCCTGACCCAAAATTGTTAGCAACCCGTTGATAGTTTAAGCATGACTTAAAATTGAGTTGCGTTTGAGTATTCCGACATAAGACTTTTACTGTTGACAGAGAAATGTTGAAGGAAAATCCTCGGCTAAAATAAGTCAATTGTTAATGCATTATAATCTAGGATATGAATGAAAAAATGAAGATTGCGCTAGATGCGTAGAGAAGACGACAACAAACCCTGTAAGGTCTTATTCGACAGTCCTGTGTCTAACAAATGAGGAAGATGATGGACGATGATAATGCAAAAAGTAATCTTACTTTTGTAGCCTTAAGATAGTCAAGAGCCTTCTTAATTTGTCGATTTTCGAGAGCAGTCTCCAGAAGAATTTTCCTTGTCAAGCAGAGTACTTGCACGTGGGTGATGGCTCGTATAGTATAATATGCTGGAAGCCCTACACCAACAAAAAAAACAAAATAAAAAATACAAGGTCCTTTAAGTATAGTCTCCAAAAGGCCGGGAATGCCCTTGTAACCTCTAGTGTTTCTGATGTCAATGGGTGGCGCTGATTGCTTATCATCAGGCGATCCATATGTATATTGTTTGCCACCCTATCTTATAAAATAAACTTTAATTCAATGAACATAAGACCAAGTTTCCTTATACTTACGTAGCAAGCAAATCAGAACAGCAAAGTGATTCTTTGTAGTCAACGTTCCAACTCTTTCCTTTGTAACTGGATCGAGAACCTGGGAAAAAATTTGCTCTGCATATTGGATTCAGAAAAGAATCACCACTATTTCACTTAGAGATGGGATAAAAAAACGTTGCCCCACACTAGGATTTTCTCCTGTGTCGTGGGTGCGTTTACAAACATACAAGTTTACATACACATCACACCCAGATCCGAAACAACAATTTGTGGATCACACAAAGTGTTGTTCCGTGCGGGAATCGAACCCGTGACACGTTGCACGGCAGCCGGTTGCCCAGCCACCGCACCAACCGTGCAGTCAAACCGTATTGTAGAGGTATGATATAGTCTATTACATGGTACACCAAGCATGATTCCAAACATTGCTCTTAAAAGTATAGTACCTAAGTATTTAAAAAATTCTGTAAAGCATATTTAAGTCGAACATACGGCCACTCATTAAGAAGAAGACAGGAAGAGAAGACTTGTTAACTTGAACTTGACTTGAATAACAAATAAGAAGATTCTAGCAAAATTGGCTGACCTCGCAGTACCCTTGTTTGATGATGTAGATCTCGTTGGAGAGCTCTCCAGTGTTGAGCAGTATCTCATTGGGCGAGGTGTAGAACAGCTTGGCCTGAGACGATATCACCCTGATGTCTTCCTTTGAAAGGAGCTGGAAATATAACAAAAGAAGGAAATTAAGCAGCAAATCTAATCTTTAATGCCATGGTCATTCTATAATTCTCATGTTTGGATGATGTTAAGTTAAATGAGATGGGATAAATTAAAATGAGTCCATCACAATATTCGAACGAATTTTTGCGAACATTTTGACCGCCAATTGTTGAAGGCAAATGCTCCGCTAACGTAGGTCACCGCTGACCTCACGGCGGTTAACGGTAAAGGATTCTTTTTACTTATGCTCTGTTCCGTGTTTCTGACATTAAAAAGGTGTCCAACAATGCTATTTATACATTAACTCACCTTCATGAAAGGTATGATGAGTATGTACTTGCTACGGTTTCTGCTCACAATGTCTTGGTACACATGTGGTGGTAGGTCGTAGAATATATTCGCATTCTTATGCGTCATTGTGAATGCCTGGAAATAAGGGTTAATGTGGTATTACAAACATAGCACATTACCTTTTAAATCCCGAAGAGGTAAAAGTATGTGTGTCGCATGTAGTGTATCTTACGAAACTAGCTTGTCGGCCCTTACCTACATTACATGTCGAATGTAATCAGAGAAGAATCTATTTCTTTATCTCTGAAGGCTAGGCGCTTTTGAAGGTTTCCCCGTCATTAAAAAAAGGCTCCATTGTTTTTTGTTATAAAGTATATAAAGTTGTCTCTTAACACTAGAATAGTAATTAGATATACCTTATCAGTATACCACCGCAGCTGCAGATACTCAATGAACCGCTTCCTCAGTACAGGGTTCACTTCATTCCTGATCAGGAAACTTTTCACTATTGCTATACGGGAGTCGTAAGCCTCTCTGTTCATAATAAACATGATTTAGCTTTCAACCTTATCTCTTCAAGTTTAAAGTCGAATGTTCACAGTTTTATAATTATGTTCGTGTGGACGAATTCCAATTATCGTCATCATTAGTAGAAAGCAGTTATTTCAATACCGATTATTGAAACTCATCTCATTAAAATTTATAAACAGAATGATGAAAGAATCAATACAAAACACCATGTAGGCGTACCTCAGGGCAGTGGTAACCATAATAGTGGCCGAGTACACGGACTCCATGAAGATACGTAGAACGACGCAAATCTCCAGGATAACCATGGTATAAATGACGTTCTCCCAGTTTCCGGTGCCCCATGTCTCTCTGTGGACTGAACAAGGAAAACTTTGGTCCTCAGTGAGGAAAAAAGAGTAAAGTGAGGACTCCTCACTTTACTCTTGGATCATATAACATACATTCATCAAAATCACTGTCCTTTCTTTGAATCTCGATCCAAGATTTCTGGACCGATTTAGGTTTTTGATAGAAACTTCACACAATGAATATATGAAAGAAAAATTATAAACTTACAGATAAAATTGATCATCGATATGGACCAGTACAGTCCAAATATAATCCTTTCTTGAACTGTCTCCTCGTCGAGTGGTTTCCGATCCCAGAAGGGCCGATGAGTCATGTTTGTGACCAAACAATAACCAGACCTAGCCAGTAAAACAAATGATAGATTAAAGCGTATAAAACTTTAACAACTATGCCGACTGTTTGCAAAAAGTCGGACGAAACAAAATAAAATCTTACTGGTAACACATGAAGGCCTGTTGCATGGAGGCGATGAGGTAGCAGGCGATGAGGAGCAGCAGCGTGTAGGACAGAAATCGGAGTACATTGCTATGGTACACACAGCTCTCCTCCAAGCTCTTGAGCACACGGAATAGCTAGAAGAGATATAAAATAAACTTACTGTATAAACAGAGAACAACACAAAAGTCTGAAATGAGAAAACTAACAAATCGGCTTTGGTAAAAAAGGAGTTATAAGAAACACCTTTGGCAGCCTGAGCAGCTTATTGATGCCTGCAAAATGTCCATCGCCAACAAACTCGAAGATGGGCAGTGTGGCCACCACGTCCAGCACAAACCAGTGGCTGCGCATCTGCTGAGAGGATGTCTGCGCGAACGTTATGGGCACTCCTAGTAAGATAAAAAATTATAAATTAAAATTAAGGTGCAAAAGCCAATATTTAACCAATCTTAACTAACGGTAAGAGGGATCTTAAAACTGGTAAACTCCTGAGAGAATAGGTCTTGGTCATGATTGCAATGTGAACCAAGAAGCTGCTGAATTCTTTGAATTTTTTTAACGTGAACATTACCTTCTTCAACATTGGCTCCAGTAGACAGGTGCACGATATGATCCAGGATAAACACAGCAGTCATGACATAGTCGAAGAAACGGAACGTCAAAGTCACTGTCTTCTTATACACCAAGTTGTAAGGATGAGTCTACGATAAGATAGAAAGTTTGATCATCGGACCTAATTTGTAACTGAGGTACAATGACAGATCTAGATTAAATTGTTGTATGGTTAAGAAAATCACTCAATCAAAGAGAGACATCCATGCTTCGCCATGAATGGGCCGGCTCGACCGGAGTAATACCCCTAGCTTTACAGAAAATCGACGTAAAGCAACGCTGCGTTGTTTCGTCGAACAAGTGAGGTTACCGGAGGCCCAATTATTCCCCTTGACCAATCTCACTATTCCTTGAATCCACAACAATCCTCAAACTCCTAATCCCCAAAAGGCCGGTATCGCAGGTGTTCCAGGTGTCCATGGGCAACGCCGATTGCTAACCATCAGGTGATCCGTCAGCTCGTTTACCAGCTTATCCCATAAAAACTAACAACTAGAGGGAGAGAGATATAAGAGAAAGAGATGAAGACTAATCAAACTAGTTAAGTGGGAAAAAGAGGGTAATTTTTACAATAAAAACACAAAATACGCTGCTGTATTGTAGTCTTTTGAGTATTATTATACTTGAGGGAGAAAAATCACTCTTACTTACTAAAAACCACCCCATTCCTACCCCTGCACTTCGAGCCGGAGCCCCGGCAACCCGTAAGCACCCCGCGGGCGTATTATTATACTTACAATACAGATGATGAGTATGAGAGTGGCTACGAAGCCGTGCCATGCAGCTAGGAGCGATGACGATGGATGCAGGATGCAGGGGAATATCGGCCGCAAACATATTACGTCAGATATGTCTGTCTGAGTCGCTCTGGACCGCTGAGATAATAATAAAAATAATGCTTTATTTATTATGTTTTGGTTATACACAGAAAACTATTGAAAGCTTAACCCTGAGGATTGTAGCATGTCATATATTATATTTGTATCTAAGAATTGGATTGATTTGCTATGGTAGGTATCCATTTATTATTGTTAATCTAGGGCTTTTACATTTTGAATTTTAGTCGAGCACTGGTTTTATTCCTAAACCACCCAAAATTTTAAATAGTCCTAATAATGGTACTGTCTGAAACCTTTAAAAAAACGACCTACATTTCTCATGATATAACAGCCAGCGATCTCCAGGAAGATATCGGAGCCGGCCAGCAAGGGCTCCCCATTGGCATTCTTCATCTTCTTCAGAGACATGAGGTTGCGGTTGAAATGTAAGATGCTGCTTTTATGGCTGACGAAGATTAATCTCAGTTAAAACAATTATACATCAATTAATGCAACAGGAAAATATCGTTTGTGAAGTTTGGCTGCAGTTTAAGTTAGCCAGTAAATAAATAAACCAGAACTGTCTGTAAATAGTATAACTTACATGGACTTATCAGGTATCTTCATTTGATAATGCCGTTTCACTTTTTCAATGTGGTCCTGTAAAGTTGGATTTAAAAAGTCAATGTATAATGGCTTGCACATTGTTACCTACCACAACAAATTATCATTTTTTTAAATCTAATGTCCTCACTTCTAATATCGTCTCTAATACTTACAGTGAAGGAGGCTAGTATGGGTCCCGCATGGTCTTGTGAGACGGCATGCTTGTTGACGACCCTCCAAAGGTCAGCTGCAGTCAGAACATGTGCTGTGCAGAAGGTGGCAGCCCTGACAGCTAGGTGCGATGTGCCCACGGCTGCTGCAGCAGCACAACCACACGGTGTCAGCACCGTCCCTCGAGTAAACCGCAAAATTGGTGTTGTGTCGTCTTCTGCAGTCAGCATCTACATTAAAAACTGGTAAACTGACAAGAGTTAACTTACAAATAATCATAATAGAAAACAAATGTATAAATTGACGTACTTCAATATCTCCATAAGTGATGTAGATAATCTTGCACTTCTTAGATCCTCGCTTGATGATGGCGTCTCCGGGTATGTAGTGGATGGTTTGCATTGTCCTCGCGATCTCTGACAGTATCTGGTATGTTAAGTCACGAAGGATCCGAGCCTAAAATATTCAATAGCTCGTAGCCTCACTTGGAAGGAGAGAATTGGGGTGATCTTTTAATTTCGTCAGTGGACTGATGAGGTTGTAAGAAAGGAGATATTCGTTAGATGCAAGTGGTTCATTGTACAACGTGGTGCTCTCAGGGAGGTCAGAATTTTATAACCCCTAAGTTAAAGAGAAAGAGATCTCACTTTTTGTGTAGCCTCAAAATATATGTCGACGTTAATGGTGGCTGGTACAGTAGGTGGATAGGTAGGCAACAGCCGAGTCTGTGAGACAGCGCGTGCTTTGTGCCAATACATCCTGTAAAATGTCTCCACCTTATCGCGAAGCACAATCGGCACTTGGGTATCTTTCTGAAAATATAAGTATGTAGTAGTATGTACGTAACGTAGTAAAACTGGTAAATTAGAAAAAGAAGTTAGAATTGAAATAATAATGTAATTTACCATATCCTTCATGATGAGCCTGTATCTTGATCGGAAGGTCTCCTCCGGTCTCATGTAGAGGCTGATGACGAGAGACAACGATGCCACAGCAGCACCAGTCACCACTAAGCACCCGGATAACATGATCGCGAGGCAGAGGAGGCGTTCAATATCAGAGTCAGGAAATTCTGAAGGTCTAAACAACATCATTTTCATAGTAGTTGAAATAGAAACTTTAAATGTGAGAGAGCTATGCTTCGGCACGAGTGGGCCGGCTCGACCGGAGTGATACCATGGCCTCGCAGAAGACCGACGTGAAACAACGCTTGCGTTGTGTTTTGTCGTGTGAGTGAGGTTACCGGAGTTCCAACTCTCCGAAACTCCAGAAACAAGAGATCTAATGGTCTATAAATAGTTACATATGTGCAAAATTACCCGATAGGTATAAACATCTTGTTGATGAGATAGAGTGCCTTGAGGAACTCAGCGGCGGCAGTCTGAGGGACTTGTTCTCCATGCTGCTCTGGATATAAAGATCTTCCTGACTAAATAATAAGTTGAACCTTTGATTAGATTTTGTTCAATAAACTCCATTATTATTTTAGGCTTATTTTTAAGGGTAGGAAATTATCGCATAATTTCTCCCGCCTAGGTGAGGCGCCTAGGTCAAACTCTTACTGAATAAAAATCACCCCTTTCCTTCTTCTGCCCTTCGAACCAGAACCCCGGCAACCCATTAACTCCTCTGCGGCATTATTTTAGGCTTAGTACGTCAAGTAGGTACTAACAGTGAACTCCCTAGAGCGAATTTCTTAACACGGTTAAAAATTGCTGTGGATTAACCTTGGTGCGGCCTTGGCCTTGGAATTCAACTAACGCGGTATGACGTAGTGTTCAAAAAATATGTCAATATTTCTACTCACCCCGTCCACATGTGTCCATATGTAAGCCCAAGTGATCCGTAGCACAATGAATACATAGCAGTACTTCAGAGCTGTCCCCAATACACTGCCTTTCAAATTAAAGTCGTTTAATGACCCTAAAGAAAATATATTCGACATTAGAAGAAGTAGCTTTCCACTCATCATACATACTTTTTTAAAAGAGTAACAAATTGAGTTTTTGCTCGTTCTTCTCCATTCGAATCTACATTTTGGAATGAGCACCTAGCTTCACTGACGGACTGACTGACAGACTATTATTTATTTTGTATTTGTTGACGTTTCAAAAGTACCAAATTATGGTTTAATTGAAATAAATGCTTTGACTTTGACATCATCATTTATTACGATCACTCCACTGTCCACTCGCAAGTTATGTTAGAGAATTTTCTAAATCAATTCAGGAAACCCTAAAATTACCCCCATAACTTTACAGAGTTAACTTCAAAAATATATTTAATTGTGCATGCTTCGGCACGAATGGGCCAGCTCGACCGGAATTATACCACGGCCTCATAGAAAACCGACGTGAAACACGTACACTTGTAAAGCTTCTGATAATGCAGGTGTGGGCGACGCCGATTGCTTACCATCAGGTGATCCGTCTGTTTGTTTCGCGGCTTATTCCATAAAAAATATCTAATCCTCACCTACCTTCATAAAAATGCATAAAGCTAAAAAATACTAACAAAGGTATTTGTAAGGTCTATGAAACCGCACGTAATAACAAGCCAGTGTGAAAGTAGGGCTGTAGGCTTTCACATAATGAGCAAACGATCCCAAGTCGATGAGGAAACCGACTGAAAATATACACAGTAATAGTAAATCAACGAAAAACATGCTGTAAAGTCTAAGGATATCTATAATCTACTAAAGACGAACCTATTGACATTCAAGTCGAAACTCGAAGCTAATTCAGAATTTTATTATCACTAGTCAAGTTAATTTATTATAGAGGTAATTATAATGCGAGTCTTGATCTAAATAATTATGTTGTTTTACTATTAGTGAGCTCAATTCTTAATACTAACGGATAATCCCATAAGTGATATCGGTATTTTCCGATTCGCCGATGATCTTATACCCAATAGCAAAGATGTGGATGGCGTAGGAAATGTTATAGATGACGTCGAGGATGTTCAGGTATATATTCTGGAGCCGCGTAAGAGTCCACACGACCCCAACCAGCACGCAGACGCAGATGTAACAGTTCCACAATGTATCATCAGGCAGGTCTCGAAACCAGTCGACTAGACCTTCGCGGGTCCACCAAGGTGGATATAAAGCCTAAAGAAGAAATGTTTTATGATTCGTGATTTCAAATATTTACAAATAATAATAATAATGCACTGTCGGATCAGGTGCGACTGTCGGATCAGGTGCGGGTCATCCAACGCAATCGCAGGTTGGATGAGGCTGCGCTTGATCGGCTACTCCTAGAAGCACTGCGCAATCGTGTCGTCCCCGCACCACCACAATCGGTGGCACAAACACCTGTAGTCTCACAGTGTGTGACGCCAACCACCCCTATCGTTGGTGTGGAGGATGACAGGGTTGAACAAGTGAGTACTCAGTGCAATGAACGACTGAGGAGTGCTTTGGAGGATGCGGTTCGTGAGTATAGACTTGATCCTAGTAATTTACGACCAAAATTACCACGTTTGCCCATGTGTAGAAAAAATAGGGCGCTGGTGAGCGCCTTGGATTCGCTACTTAAAAAAGATTTCGAGAGTAGCGAAAACCTCTATGATACACACTCAATCTTGTACTGTGGGGCGGTAGCTGCTTGTCGAGTGGCTAACGTCAGATTCCCAAATCTTGACGCAGCAGTCCGACCAAAACCAGCAGTACCTGCCTGGCAGTATAGGATAGAGCGTCGTATCAGTGAGGCCAGGGTACTCATTGGCAAACTATCCTGCTTCAGGGAGGGCAATACTCGCCCTAGAGTGATGCGCTTTGTAAGACGTGCATTTGTGGGGACTGAAACCAGTCCTCATGAATACCTGTCACGTGTTACAGAGCGCATCGACTTCCTGAAGCAGAAAGTTTATGCATGGGCAAACCGTATTAGACGTTACAAAAAAAGAGTGGAGCGCTATACTCAGAATCGCATGTTCCAAAGAGATCAGAGGTGGGTATACAGAGATTGGGAACGATCCAACCAAGATTTGGCTGACGGACGGCGACCGGATGATGATGCCACTAGCACATTTTGGCGCAACATCTGGTCGGTACCTGTCAGCCACACAGAAGGTGACTGGATGTTTGATGTTAAGCGAAGGTGTGAGACTATACCAGAGATGGAGGAGGTAGAAATCACCTCCTCTGATGTAGCCAGTGCAGCCTGTTCGGTTCCGAATTGGAAATCACCGGGGCCGGACGGACTGCACAATTTCTGGATTAAATGGTTCAAGAGTTCACACGTTCGCTTAGCATTACACTTCCAGGCAGCTTTGGAAACTGGGTCGTTACCACAATTTCTAACAACAGGAGTTACCCACCTGCTCCATAAATCAGGTAGTTCCACTGAGCCCAAAAATTATAGACCAATCACATGTTTACCAACGGTCTATAAACTTCTTACATCCATTTTGAGGACAAAAATAACAAAACATATTGAACAAAATTCCATCATGTCTGTATCTCAAAATGGATGTAGGGAGGGGTCTCGTGGAACTAAGTAGCTACTCCTCATTGATATGGTTGTTAGCCAACAGGTTCGTCGGTCCCGAAAAGATTTGTCTACATGCTGGATAGACTATAAAAAAGCATATGATTCTGTGCCACATACATGGCTCCTGAAGGTGCTGGAGTTGTATAAAATACATGCAAGTTTACGCGCCTTCTTGGAGTCATGTATGAGGCAGTGGAGCACCGTGCTTTGCTATCCGGGATGTAGACAAATCCAAGGGAATGAAGAACCTGTAAGGATAGTACGAGGAATATTCCAGGGTGACAGCCTGAGCCCACTATGGTTCTGCTTGGCCTTGAATCCTCTAAGTACTCTACTAGAGGATTCAGGGCTAGGCTATCCTTCGCGGAGAAGGGGTCTAGTTATATTCCACTTACTTTACATGGATGACCTCAAGTTGTTTGCTCCAAACAAGAAACAACTGATGGAACTACTGAATATAACTGAAAAATTTAGTAGTTCCATCAGAATGGAGTTTGGAGTAGACAAGTGTGCGGTCATGCATGTAAAGCGAGGAGGGATTGTGAAATCTGAGGGACTAGAACTCTCAGATTTCACAAAACTGAGATCACTCTCCGCAAACGATACATACAAGTACCTGGGTATGTCAGAAGGATTAGGCATTAATGGACCGGACATGAAGCAATCGTTACAGGAGCGCTTCTTTGGCCGCCTGAATAAGGTACTGAAAAGTTCCTTATCAGGCGGAAACAAGGTGCGAGCCTTTAACGGTTGGGTCATGCCAGTCCTAATGTATTCTTTTGGTATACTCAAGTGGACACAGACTGAACTTGACACCCTGGATAGACGAGTCCGGACCCTGCTGACTGCAAATCGCATGCATCACCCTCGTTCGTCGGTCATGAGGTTGTACATCCCGCGGAAGTGTGGTGGTCGAGGTTTATTAAATGCTAAGACCCTTCACAACCGTGAGGTGTGCAGCCTCAGGGAATATTTCCTGAAAGTCAACGAGGGTATGCATCGAGAAGTAGCAGCGGTGGACAATGGATTCACTCCGCTATCCTTGGCAAAAGAGAACTGGCGCAAACCTGTGGTACTGAGCGTCAATGATCGCAAGGAGGTATGGCATAGCAAGGAGCTCCACGGACGTTTCTTCCGGGCCCTTCATGGGCCCAGTGTAGATTTTCTAGCGTCCGTGTCTTGGCTACGATTCAGTAATCTCTTTGGAGAAACTGAAGGATTTGTCTGTGCAATTATGGACGAAGTTATCCTTACGAATAACTACCGGAAATATATAATTAAGGATGGGACGGTTGACATATGTCGGGCATGTCATAGTCCTGGTGAATCCATTAGACATATTATTTCTGGTTGTGGTCGTTTGGCTAACAGTGAATATTTGCATAGGCATAATCAAGTAGCCAAGATTATCCATCAGCAACTTGCTTTGCACTATCGACTTGTTGAGTCTGAGGTACCGTACTACAAGTATGTGCCCGACCCAGTTCTGGAAAATGACCATATCACGTTGTACTGGGACCGGTCTATCATCACTGACAGGACTATTATAGCGAACAAACCTGATATAGTGGTGATAGACCGACAACTGCGCCGCACGATGATAATCGATATCACTATTCCTCATGATGAGAACCTCGTGAAAGCTGAAAAAGATAAACAAATCAAATATCTTGATTTGGCTCACGAGGTTGTCGACATGTGGAATGTAGATTCGGCTATCATTGTGCCGATAGTCGTATCGGCCAATGGGTTAATACCTAATAGCCTCGACAACCACCTTAAGAGGCTAGCGTTAGGTAGTTGGGTCAAGGGCCTGATACAGAAGGCAGTGCTCCTTGAAACGGCACGTATCGTGAGGAGGTTTCTGTCTCTGGAGCCCTAACCACCGGTAGCTTGGACCATGCTCCCGCTACTGGTCGGCTCCTATTTTTTATATTTTTAAATATTATTTTTATGTTTTTGTAAATAGTATTTAAAAATGTATTTTATAGAGAATTTAAAATAAATATATGGATGCAAAAGTATTCATTTAATTTTTAGATAGGGCAAAAACACCTTCGTTCAAAGTAGTAACTAACCAATAAGAAAAACTTAACAGCTACGCTTTTCATGAAAGCATCCCAGAAATATATTTTTTTTACAAAACAGTAGCAACGAAGCATGTGACCAAGTATGTTGGTACTTCAGTAACAATGTCAATGTTTGTCTCAATAATCGAAAACAACATTCATATCAGCAAAGAAGCAATGAATACCAAACCTCTTTCTGTCGTATAAAGAACGAGAATTCGACGTCTCTACGACTGGAGTGGCTGCCAAGTTTACTACGGAACTTGCTGCCCATCTTACTGGCTAAACTGCCCATACTGCCGATACTGCTGTAGCTGCCACTAGCATAACTATTTTGGCTTGTACGGCTCGATCGGCTAGACTGGCTACTCAGCTGTCTGCTGCCGCTAAGCTGTCTTGGGTTCCACATCTCACTTCAAATTAAAACTCAAGAAAATAATTAACAAACTTCTGTAAACTATCGAAGAGAACTTTGAAATGTCACTTTCGTTCTTGAAAGTGAAGCTTTATCATGTCATTTGCTATCAAATTGGCGTTAAAATAAGTATTATCAAGGCAGTATAGTCGACAACATCGTATTGGAGACTCGGTTGCCAGTGAAAAAAAGTATTCATCAAACTTTTCGTGATTATAATATTTTTAACGATCAGAAGATTTAAAAAAACAATATGGGATGTAGTTACATTTTATTAGATTATGCGAATACAATTTCAAATTAAGCTTATCAACCGATGTTTATTTAAATAGGAACAAAATAACAATAACTCAATATGAAAATAATAGCATTGAGAATTTAGATAATTAATATGAAAAATATAAGTCTCACGGAACTTGACCGATTTTCCCGCTCCGAATGACAGCTGACAAAATGACCGAGTGCCGGTTGTTGTAAGTTCAAGATGGAGTATTGGTCATCCCCCTAACAATATTTTAAGGCACAAAATAATGTGTCTATGCCATGGACGTATTACACGTATTATAACTAACGTCTATGTTATCAGTGATGTTATCTCTGCTCTGTGCTCTATACTTATTACACTCTTTGGCTCTGAGTGTGCTTTGTGATGTGCAGAGCGCGTCTTTTGAGAATCCTACCTACTTCATCATCATCACTAAAACTTCATCAATAAAAATAGTCTGTGACAATGACAGCTGACTTGCTGAGATCCACCTTCACGCTTAGTAGGATGGGAGTATTTTAATATCTGATCAATAGTTTTGGAGCTTATTCGATGCAGACAATCTATATCCCATTCTCTTTGTGATTTTTGTACAGATAATACTTTGCCCAGCTAGGGTTTCCTGCCCCTTAGCTTATAAGATTTAAGTAGTTCAAAAAATTAAACAACACAAATATAAATACACGTTTATTGGCTAGTTTTCTTACACATTTAAAGTAGCCATGAAACGAAATACTTGACTTATAACCATAACTTAAAATCGAGACAATAATATTAATCTTTTAAAATAAACTAAAACTAACATTACACTTCCATAATCGTTTTACTTAGAAATCAAAGGACGTAAAAATATTAAAACTACAAATCAAAAGACTTGATAAGATAACACTCACTTCTCGCTAGTAACGTGTCGAGTGCGTTAGGGCTAACCCTAATTACGTGGAAACTGTAGGTTAACTTAGGTTAGCCTAATACCATTCATTGGCTACAATTGCAAACTCCATTGCATTACTGGGGCTAGAAAAAACTCTATTAGGTATATTTTACTGGCTGTAAACCTAACCGTTAATTTTTTATTATAATAATAGTAATACCAAAGACGTTCACTGGATTAAGGTTATTTTTTAGTTTCCTTGTCAGGGCTTCCAGATTTTGAGGTAGACGTAGATGTAGCTCCTTCATCCTCTCGTTTAGGCCGATTATTGTCTGCCGTCCTAGTCTTGCCTTTCTTCGAAGGTTTCTCATCTTCAAGTTCGTCAGTATCACTCCCATCCTCCTCATCATCATCTTTTTTCTCATCATACCGCACGCGAATGGAACGTCTTTTACTCTTAGTGTTAGTGCTTTCTTCCTTATGCAGCGAAGGCGCAATACTTGTTGGGGCTGAAACACACATTTAGTATGAAAATATAATTTAAATTACAAAAAACATAAGGTTGAATACCAAATTCTGTCAAAGTAACAGAGCAAATATTTTCATTTGGTTTAATAAGTAAGTGTGGGAGAGCACAGTGAGAGATTGAGATCGATCCCAAGATTCTTAATCAATGAAAACGGTGCATCACGTTCGTTTAAGTGTGGGAGAGCCATGCTTCGGCATGAATTGACCGGCTCGACCGGAGTGATACCACGGCCTCACAGAACACTGGTGTTCCAGGTGTGCAAGGGCGACACCGATTGCTTATCATCAGGTGATCCGTCTGCTTATTTACCGGCTTATGCTAAAATCGACACTACGATCTCTAGTGATACAAATATATCGGTGACTGATGTGACCAGGATCAAGCGTAGATAGACAACGTAGCTAAACAAAGGTTCAGTGTTGACTTTCAAGTTTCAATATTTTTAATAGCACCATGTTGTTAAAATATGCCTTGCATCTAATGATGTAAAGTAAAATGAAACAGTACAAAAGCTAAAAAATCAACAAATTATGTTAAACAAATACCTAAAGATAAACTAATTTACCTTGAGATGTTGTCCCATCGTTGTCGTCGTCGTCGTAGTTTGTTCGGTTGGGGTCATAAATTATTTGTTTTTTCATAAATGATTTTCGTGTTGCTCTTGCTGTAGATGACTCTACCGTCCTGCTATCTATAGCCGTGGAAGGCGCAGGTGTTAGTGCTGGCTCATATACTGTGACAGTTGAAGGCTTGGTTAAGTCCACTGTTTTAATAGATTGTTCCTCAGATGTTGCCCCTGATATTAGAGAGGCTTCATCTTCGTCTGGCCTAGTCTCGGGAATTTCTGAATCTACAGTATCAGCTTTAGATTCACGTAATGTTTGAGTTTCTGAAGGTTTACTTGCAGAAATATTTGTTATGTCCTTGACTGGCTGAGCATTTTGACCTGAGCGTTGAATGTCTTGGTTAATATTGGGTTGTAAATAAGAAAGTGTGATCGGTATGTATGGCTTGGATGTATCAGGTTCAGTTGCAGCTGTAGCTAGAGTGGGCGCAGTACTGGTGGTCCCAGCAGGCTTAGAGCTCCGAGAAACTTGACTATCTTCCAGTACTGTTTCTGTGGAAGTTACTGGCTTCGATTTTATATATGATGCCGACAAACCTGCCGAAGACCTTAATTTTATTTCTTGCGTATCTGTAACAGATTGAATATCTTCATCTTCATCTTTTGTTTCTGTATTAAGATTTTGGGATGCAGAAATTCTTGATCTGGAGGGACCAGAAACCACATCTGATGCTCGATATGGCGTTAGTATATTTTTAATTTCATCGATCGGCTGAGAGCTCCAACGTCCAAGTCCAGGTCGAGGAGTATCAATCTTTGAGGTAGTTTCAGCATTTTGTTCGACATCTCGGTCTCTTTTAGATTGAACTTTGGGAGAAAGATTTTGAGGCATATCAAGTTTAGAAGATATGGCTTCACTAGCTGGTTGGTTCTTTGTATCGTGTTGATTAACCAAAGCCTCGCTGATGAGTCGTGTACTACCAGTGTCTGCTACAATATTTGGGACTTCCTCTTCTCGTCGGTGAACATTAGTACTATCTGGGGCAGGTGAACTAGACATGATTACAGGTATGGACATAATTTTAGACTTCGTACTACGTTCCAAGCGAGACTCATCTGATTTAGAAGGTTCTTTCAGTGCTATAAATGTAGGAGTAGGACCTGTCGCAGATTTTAGAATAACATCTTTCGACTTTGATGTTCCAAGTAATTGTTCCTCTCTAGCATCTCCAAGAGGTGCCTTTGAACTTATAGGAGGGGAAGTGTCAGCCATAGGTGCAATTGACTTTGTTTTATCTTTGATAGCCAAACTATCGAGAGCTTTTTCTTTATCTGGTTGTGTTGACTTTTGGTCAGATCTTTGTTCAGGATAAGAAAGTGGACTAGGTACATTGAGTTTACGTGCAGACGGAGGGTCTTTCGGAATTTGACTGGTAGGGGTCATTTTGTCTTGAGTAGGTTGCTTACTTGTAGTTGCTCGACTAATATAGGGTGTGCCTTGAGTAGCTTGTATACGTGAAAATTCTCGTATGCTTTGCGATGGTGCTGCTTTTTCTTTTGTCTCATTTTCAGCTAAGGCACCTTCTATGTCTATTGTGAGTTCAACTTTTGAGACAGTATCAACGACTTTAGATTTTTCTTTACCTAGTCTAAGAGCGTTAGAATTTTCTATAGTAGTAAGTGGTTTTACCGGCAAATGGTCAGATTCACTTTGATCTAATTTTTGCATTGATCCCATATCTAAAGTTACTAAATGTTTTTCTGTCGTTTCGTCTGGTGCATGGAAGAACAGACTCTGTTTGCGAGTTCTTTGTCTTTTAATTACGTCTTTTTCCTGTTTTTTAGCTTTTTCAAATTGTTTGAGCAATGCCTCAGTCGCTTCAGCATCTTCTTCTAGTAAAAGTTCATCACCAGCTGCTGTCAATTCAGGATCTGAAACTCTACCCATTAATTTTTTGGCAGTGCCAGCTACTATTCTCAGTATTGATTTAAGATTTGCTCTTGGATCTTTGTTAATTGGATTTTCAGGCGGTCCAGCTTGATTTTCGTCTTCAATATTTTGAGCCATAGATATTGCGTCAGGTTCCCTATTATCAGATGGCCAAGCAAAATATCTAGAGTGTCTTCTTTCTGCTGTTGAATGGCTAAGTGGTGCTTCTTTTCTTACATCTGTGGCAGAATCTTTACCGAAATGTCTTTGTGTATCAGGAAACTGCGACATGTCTGGGGTATCTTGTTGCATTTCGTCCATTTCATACTTAGGACCTGCATCTGTTATTGGACCTCCAGGCCAGTTACTGTAATCTGTTTCGTCGTCTCCTAATTGTTTCATATGTTTATGTATAGAGTTTTTGCTGTCTGGAAAATGTTTCAGTAGGTACTCCCAGTCGTCAAGTTTCAGAGTAAGTACTTGAGACTTGGTCACCGTCTGATACGAGTGAGTGTACGGAGTATTTCGAAATAATCCCTGCAACTAATTTAATACAACTTTGTTTACAGAAATGAGAAGCATGTTTCCTGAAATATTGTAGTGCTATGTTACTTACAACTCCGAAGTAGGAGCCTGCAGGGTAGACCCTGGCACTGACCTCCATAACCTCCTCACAAGTCTCCTTCACCTTACCAGTGTGTATCACGTACATTGCATCTGTGATTTCACTTTCTTTCACGACGTACATCCCTTCAAAAAAAAACATGGTAACATAAACTATCACCATTCTTATATTTACCTATGTCAGATCAAGTATATACAATAATACTGTTCCTCCTATAGATTTTTCTTACTAGTTGATACTTAAAGTACCTTCGTTATATGTATACAACTTCAAACATCCCACCATTTGTCTGAGAAAAGCAGGCTCACATTCTTCAAAGATATGATGCTGAAATCACGAATACAATATCATTCAGTGTTCTAAAGGATATTTGGTTTTTTGGATTCAGTAAACTACCGAATCATTCATCATATAAATCTTAAAACTGTTACAGTAATCATTCGAAAACGTAGTAAATAGTAGTCTATAATCATTACAAAAGACAGTTAATTGACTTATTTATTTACCCGGGTGATGTGGTGCAGGTAAGCGGCTGACATGACCCTCAATCGAAGAGAGAGAGGTGCTTGTTTCAAGAAGTGAGGTATCTGCAGCCCTCTGTTCTCACGCCATAAGTGGAGGGTATACTTATTCACAATGGTCACAAGATTCTTAGACACCCTGTTGTTTTTCAAAAATTTCTGTATAGAAAGAGATGAATAATTGGAAGGAATTAGAAGTCTTCAGCTTATTAAGGATTTAAGTAACAGCTTAGCAAAAAAGAGTTTGTAATAATTGAGGTCGCTAGTATCGTACTTATGGTAACCTGGTAGGTACACACAACCACACATCAATCTATACAAAACCAGTTTATCCTGGTGTCGCGTCGCATCATCTTTCCGCACATTTAACGTTCAGTTTATACAGGTTATGTAAAGCTCAATGTGTAGCCGTGTGTACATTATGACAAATGTACATTATGATTTAATAATTTTTATTTTTATCGAGTTTAAAAAGAGGAGGTACTATATTCGGATTTTTTGTTTATTCATAGTACATGGTCCAAAGTGGGTGATTCAGTTCAAATCAATATGAGTCCCGGCTGTCACCACCTCAAAATCTTTTTGGCCAAGCTGTAGGTAGATATTTACCTGCAATTCTAAGTATTTGCTGTAGAAGTTAAATGAACGATAGGACTGGAACTGGATAATGTTTGACAACTCCCCAACGTATATCATGAACACCATCGTCGATAAAATCTGAATTAATGCCACGAACACCACCTGGACAATTGGATATAGTTATACATAGCACTAATAATTTTTTCATCAATTTTATTTTACTGTAATTCCATGTCGAATATTATGAAAAAGTTCCTCCTTTAATACTGCCGCATCAGCCTATGTTTTATTAGTTTTTAGGTTTTTTATATTAAGGATTAGCATCTATCATTTGGATACCAGCTCGGCTATTCTGTAACTTTCGATTCGAGATATCGAGGTGAACTCAATCGTGATCCACCATGTTGTTGTGGTTGTCAGAACAATCTCGACCAATGACGGACGAGAATGCGATCGAGCTTAGTTCGAATTGGCGGTTACAGAACAGCCTGACTGCTTCAAAAATGTCTAGTTAGGTTAGGTTAGAAGTTAGAAGCTACCTCTTTTCCTGCCAGCGAATCATGTCTCGTCACCTCACCAATGAAGTAGAAGACTGAAGATTTCCTGGCACAGGAACTAAATATAACTTTATACAGACCTCCGAATGTTTCTTGGGCATGATGTCACCGACACCGTTTTGTGTGAATGTGGTAAGCACGAAGTATAGAGAACAGATGTAGTGGTTGTCGCAGTGAGTGGTGCCGTCATCTGACAAATGAATAATTATGATGAAAGGCGGCAATTGCAAGGCTTGCTTATTTATTTAAGAAAGAGGTGCAAGTTCTCATTGTATATTCCCTCATTTACTCTTATTCTCTTCCTTCAACTAGTACGGATGTAGTTGCATTTTCCCTACAATCCGAAACAACCACATCCTAAATTTCCTTGCGATAAAAAGTGGTTGCAAGAAAACTGACAGTTTAAACCTACACGATGCAAATTTTTATATGCCTTCTTAATTCCGTTGGGAACAAAACCCTACCCTTAAACCAATACTTACCTAGATGAATCCAGGAAGTCCCTGGCTCAAGCTGGTCTTCCACAACCGCCATAAAGTACCAGATACAAGTGGAGGTGTGGACGAACAGTGTGAACCAAATGAAGACCGCCATGACCGTAGTCAGTGTCAGATTAACCGTGATGCTTTCTTTGCGACGGCTCAGGCATTTGTAGACTGTTACCTGGAGAATGATGCCGGTAATATTTTTAAGCAGACATTTAACACAAACTTGTGCATTGAAAGCTCTCGCTTGGCTACTACGAATTTTACTAAACTACTTTTAGTATTTAGAGTGCCTAGTGTGAACCAGTTATAACGTTCGGCACTGTGATTGGCTGGTCCAATTTAACCAACCAATCAGAGGGCTAAACGGGGTAACGTTGCGATCGCGTTAACGTAAAAATAAATCTCATTCAGTACCCTGTTCTTAGTACTTAAAGTACTCGGCACTGAGTCTTTACTTAGGCTATTCTGTAACATTCAATTTGAAAGATCAAAGTTAACACGATCCTGGGTTCCCATGTCATTGGTTGTGAGAATAATCTGGTACCAATGATGGGCGAGAGTGCGATGGAGCTCAACTCCAAAGTTTTAATTGACATCAAAGTCAAAGCCAAAGCATTTATTTCAATTAAACCATAATTTGGTGCTTTTGAAAAGTCAACAAATACAAAACAAATAATAGTCTGACAGTCAGTCCGAACAGAATCCATATCTTACAGAATAGCCTCAGCAGACCTCCACCACTCACTAAAAAAAATCACGCCTAGTAAGAACTAAAATGTCTTTAAACAGATTGTCCCTTACAATTCTAAACATTCTATTGAGGCGCAATAGTGCGAACCGCCCCCCAGCGAAGACAAACAGCTCGAGAGGCAGTATTGATATCAAGTCGTATCTGAATTGTCTTCTAAAGTACCTGTAAAATAAAATACGTTTTTTGAATAATTAAAAAGTTATCTTTTCTGAGTAAAATAGAAATTCTTTCATTGTCATTATTTTCATTATAGAACATGAAAGAAGATTTTTTTTTGAGAGCGCGTGTCAGACTCTTACTGACTAAAAACCACCCTGTTCCTACTTCTGCACTTCGAGCTGGAGCCCCAGCAACCCGTTATGCCTTCCGCGGCTCCGTATCGGGCATCAGCCCTTATGGGCCCCATCTGTAGTGGTCTGATGGCTCTTTGAGGCGCACGCGGAACGAGACGCGCCGTACGTATAGATAATGTTTAGACACAATTTACATGTTAAATGGAACACAAAATGGATACAAACTTTTGTGACACTCTTAAACGTTTGTTATTGTAATTACTTTTTTTGGTTATTTCTTATGGCGGGAATTTAGCGCCGCGTGCCGAGATACAGGCTCACGCCTAGTTCGGTCGCGGATGCTCGTTCTGTTAGTTGTAGGATAACTGTTATAAGTCATAATGTGAAACAGTAAACTGTAACCACTTTTTGAATAAATAAATAAATATCGAAAAAAAAACTTACTGTCTTCGTATTGGTAGCATTATTCTCTTCATACTCTTGTTGGTCACGAGAAAAGGGATTGCATGTTGAGTAAATATCTTCAAACAGAAACAGAAATCCAAGGAATAGAGAGTAACTAGGATCCAGGTACTATTGTCCTGGAACAGAGGTACCTAACTTGTAAAAGAACTTACTTTCTAAAAGAATATTCCTTTTAACACAAAAGCTCGTGAACTTCAATCGGGTTGAAGTCGGTTTTTTAAATCAACAACAGCCTATAAATGCCCACTGCTGAGCAAAGCCTCTTCTCACACGGAGAAGGTTAGAGCATTAATCACCACGCTTGCTCAATGCGGGTTGGCGATTTCAAACTTATAATTAGAAATTATAAATCCAGGTTTCCTCACGATGTTTTTCCTTCACCGTTTGTCAGTGGTGTCTAAATAATCTTAGAAAGTACATATAACTCGGAAAAAGTCATATTGGTACTTGCCGTTGGTAGGTTTCGAACCCGTACCCTCATGCATGAGAAGTGGGCGTCTTAAACCTCCGGGCCACCACGACATTAAAATGTTTTTTAAATGTAATTTTTAAAAGAATGAATTAAAATTGTGTTGATTCTGACCTCATATCCAGCGTTGTACAAGTCCAAATAGATGCATCCCATACAGATGAAGATTAAGTAGAACAATACAGCGCCCTCTTGGAAGTAGATGTACTTGAGGAAGGTCCTAGTCTTCGTCCGCGGCGGTGGACTCGACTGCAAATGTCGCTTCATTTTGATCGTAGCCTCGCCGCCTAGGATGTACATCTGTCCATAGGAAATGTCATAAAATTGGTTTGTATCGTTTGAGAATATTGTCCTACAACTGGTATTACTTGAACAACTCGAGATAGGCTCTACTAATTTTAAGTAACACCGCGGCGTAACTCATGCTTTATGCAACTAATGACTGTGTCGGTCCTGGAATGACTTGAAACATCGAATTAAGCCCTAAATTTATGTCGGAATATTGAAACACTACTCAATTTTAAGTCGTGCTTAAGTATAGTTCTATCTCTACAAATTCTTTGTAAAATGACAGAGATGGCACGATATTTGAGCACGATTTAAAATTGAGTAACGTTTCAGTATTCCGGCATTAATGAATTGATAATAATATGTCGCGCCTTACTATGAAAGTAGTGTCGTACGTACCCTCTTTTCAATTTTATTATGTTTCTCAACCACCCTAGATTTTTCCATGAGTTCCCTTACAACTGGGAAGTCTTTAGTAATATTAGCGAAAGCAGCTGACTTGATCATCAGCAGGTGTAGTCGACTGGTCGCTACCACGTTGTACGGACTTCTGCGGCAGGGCATGTTCCCCAAGTTACCAAATACACTGTAAAAGACCATTGTACCTATTTCACATTTATGAAAAATATGTATATCTTAAATATAACACCCAAAACTGGACGTTTGCCTTTAAGTTTAAGGATGACAAAATGACCTACAAATTCAGTAATGAATAAATTTTATTACCTGCCCCTTGGTAAACGCAAAATAGAATTCGTGTCTTCCATGGGAACCCTGATCTCCACTCCTCCATAGTCCACGAAGTACAGTTCAGTGGTTATATCGTCTATCTCCAGGATTTTCATATCACGAAGGAAGTACACGCTACGAACTGCCCGGCCCAAGATACGGAGTAACGATACATCTGCATCTACTAATATTGGACACTGGGGGGAAAAACGGAAAGGAAAATGACGAATTGTTGTGACAAGCTATGGAGGGGATGTTGAACAGTAGTCTTTTAGATGATGATAATGATGAGGAGGAGGATGCAGAGGAGAAGCAAGGGCAGAATGATGGTGAATTTTAATGTTACCTTTGCAAAAGTAGGTCCATAGATATGCAAGATAGCGTCAGTCCGCAACGTGATCTGGTCGCACAGCTTCAAAACTCCTCGATAGTCAATGCCGCCCATCTTCTCCCAATTATACTCGTAGTAACGCCTCACTTCTCTGGTGAGAATAAACTTCTAGTACGGTAATCAGTTTTGTACATGGTTATTATTATTATTGTGGAGGCTTTTTATTGTTAATTGAATATCTCACAATATTTAAAACTAGATTGGTCTTTTCCCCGAAAAAGAAATTCCACTAACAATTTTCTGGTTAAACAGTAATTAATTTAATGTCTAACTAAAAACATCGAACAACTCCTGACAATACAGTACCACGATACAGGAACAAACCCCTCGATCCATTAACCAAATTAATAAAAACTGAAATTGTGAGGAGTTGGATAGAAGTCTCAAATAATAGAGACAAATGGAAAATTTTGGAGGAGGCCTTCACCTGAGGAGGGTCCATGTAAAAACCAAGAAACATAGAATTATGTAGTCAAATACTTATTTATATTTTTTTAGTTATTGCATGGAATAAATATGAATACAGTTGACATAGGTACTTCTGTAGCTCGGAATCGAGTTTCTCGCGAATCATGTAAGCGTTGATATCCTTCATATGTTGTTGGAAGCCGGCCAGCGACTTGTTGACGTTCGCTCGGACGCTGATAATGCGGACCGAGAAGTACGTTATTATCATTGCGCCTGGAAATATAAGAAACGAATATTTAATAATAGAAGCTCAAGCATGGTTCATAACTGATTTTGGTATCTTAAATTATCTATATTAAATGAGGAGACTTACTGCACAACATTCCAATGAACAGTACCCGCATTATATCATGGTTACTAGGGTTGAAGATGCCATAACCAGTGGTGCTACATTCATACACCACCCAGAAGTAGGTCCCTAGGTGCAGATTCCATGGGGTCTCAGTCAGGTTGAAGCGAACTGTAGTCAGAATCATTTAAAAAAAATAAAGAAAAGAATAGAACAAGGTGAAAATCTATTCCTTGACATCTACTAAAGTTTCGATAACTACACTGCGGCCATCAAGTCATAGGTCTCTCTCCGCTTGTACATGAATGAATCTTTCGGATGATGACAGTGTACTCACATTTGTCCTTGAACAGATAAATCCAGGATCCTCCATGGTCCTCAAATGGCAGTAGTAGCCACTCGTACGACTTGCCCCGGTCGTATTCCTTGTAAAATATTTTGACGGAGTCGAAAATCAGTATACAAGTCAAAATATTCAATATGGCGCTGAATATTGGTATCAGATGCAAACTGGAAAAGAAATTCAATATTCAGCCTATGATTAGCCACTTCTAGATAAGACATCTACTCTTGTCTGCCTTATACTACTCAACATCTACTATCATCTCTACATCATGATTACCAACGAGGTTGGCATTATTTTAGGCCTCTAAAGTATAATAATCTTACACCACAAGCCTCTATAATGTAATATCCTTACATCATAAGAATGTCTCGGCGTCCAATGTACTCCTTGAGTACCTTCATAGCTCCTGGCATGCGATACAATTGGATCAGGCGGTTCAGCATTAGAAACTGCTTCGTCGGAGTCACGCGAAACTTGTTCCCTGTTCATGTTAATAAAAGCAATCATTCCTATAATTTGTATTGCTAAGGGCCAATTTTACAATCATTGGTTAATTCTTAACTGTAGAATAAAATTGACATTTGACAGTTTTTAGTATGGAACAATTGTCAAATATTCAAAGTTATTCCTCTGATAAAAAATTGAGCATTGAAAAATCGGCCCTAAGTCTAATTCAATTTCAAGTTAGTAAGTTCAAAAGTTGCGAAACTTTCCATACGAAGTTTGATAGTTTTTGATTAACCGATTTGTATGTATGTATGTTTGTGCGCGATTATCTCGGGATTGGCTGAACCGATTTTTATGCGGTTTCCAGAAAACGCGGTGTCTTGCGTGAGCGACGAACTCGACGCGGCGCGACGCTGCTAACACGACGAACGCGATCAACTCAACGGCGTACATGCGGCCTATATGACAGTCTGCGGCGAGACGCGACGTAACGCGCACTTGTTTTGAGGGCGACCTGAGGGCCAAGCACGAATAACTATCGCATTCGTATCGTAACAGTATCGATCGAGTTAAGCGTTCTGATTGGTTGGTTCACTGGAGCCGGCCAATCAGAGTGCCGAACGCGCTCGATACTATTACGTTACGAATGCGATAGTTATTCGTGCTTGGTACTCAGATGCGACAACACGAACTATAACATTTTCAAGCAAAATTGTACTGTACTTCGCCATGATTCGAGAAGTAATGACCAAAATAACGTAGGACATTTGTCGCGTATAGCATCGCGTCGCATTACGTCGCGCCGTGTTGCGTCGCGTCGCGTCGCGTCGCATTCGTCGCTCACGCAGGACACCGCGTTACACTTCTGGGTCGGTTTTAGTATACTATTACTTTAAAAAAACAGGGGATTGAAGTCGGTTTTTTTAAATGCGGTTTATAAAAGAATTATTATTTGTAATAAAAAATCAACAACTAAGCTTGATCAGGAGCAACGATATATTTATGAAAAATAAATATGCTTTTAATCATCTAATTAATATAGAAGTGTTGAATGTTTACCAAGGAATTCTCTCCGTGGTGACTCCAAGGTCTCAAGAGGCAGGCAACCGAATAGATCCACAATGAAACCGCCCTTCATGTAGTAAGAGGCGGTGCTGGCTGGGTGGTACACCAGGATCCCAATCTCATTGAAGTAGCCAATAAGCATGCGTTGAAAACTAGAAGGTACATAAATGAAATATATTCAATGTTTTTAAACTAAAAAAAAATTAATTATGCGACCTATCGCTAAAGGGTCGTATGAAGAATATTCTTAATCAAATCACACATGAGAACTCAATTTGGAATGTAACGAAAGAATTGTTCAGAATAAGTTAAAGAATACTTAAGCTGCTGCCTCGTAGGCCAAGTGGTCGCAAGTGCGACTGCCGGGCAAGGGGTCTCGGGTTCGATTCCCGGGTCGGGCAAAGTATTACTGGGTTTAAAAAAAATCTCAGTAGTAGCACGGAGTCTGGAATTGTGCCCGGTATATGGCAATAGGCTCACCTCCTATTACATGGGACTCATAACATAAATAAAGTGGGTGTTACTTCTGTGTGCACCTCTGCCTATCCCTTCGGGGATAAAAGGCATGATGTTATGTATGTAATACTTGTCTTAAGCTTTTATGGCAGTCTTCTGCAAAGTGAAACAATCCTTTGGACAATATTTAAGATTTTCAAATTAAAAAAAAAACCGTTCTCTCATTCTTCAGCTACAACTTGACTTCATTCATGATTACCTCCAGATACAGTAATACATACATGTCGTAATAAGCAGCCAAGTCGAGGAACTGTGTGACGTAGTAGAGGTAGGGCCACTGCAGCACCAGGTAAGTGTAGGAGGGAAACAGCTGCGCTGATAGAAAGGCACAGAAGAAGCGGAACCACTCGTAGCGCACCAGGTACTTGCCATCCGGCCTGATAGTGTACCGAGGAAATACGTAACTGTTGGACAAGACCATTAACATTAGACCATCTTATCTAAAAGTTCAGAAAGCCCTTAAATATCAGGGCTTGTGAGGACCTTGATCGAAATAATGGAATATAACTGTTGACTGCACGGTTGGTGCGGTGGCTGGACAACCGCCTGCCGCGCAACTTATTGCGGGTTCGATGATTCCCGCACGGAACACTCTTTGTGTGATCCACAGATTGTTGTTTCGGGTTTGGGTATCATGTGTATGTGAACTTGTATGTTTGTAAATGCACTCACGACACAGGAGAACGTTTTTTAAAAAACAAACGAAATAAGGTAACATCATTCCAAGGCCACTCTCACATTTTTTTTATGGAATAGGAGGCAAACGAGCAGACGGGTCACCTGATGGTAAGCGATCAGCGCCGCCCATGGCGGTGTCCATGCAACACCAGAGGAGTCACAGGTGCGTTGCCGGCCTTTTAAAAAGGAGTACGCTCTTTTCTTAAAGGTTTGAAGGTCGTATCGGTCAGTCACATTGACTGCGTGCATTTGAAATGACCAACAGCTGCATGCCATTAATCATTTAATTGATAAACAAAACTACAGTTAATTGGGTCAAGTTGATATCACAACTGCGCACCGTTGCTAGACTGCAGTTCATCTGATGGCAGTATACAAGTTTCTAATTTGAAGCTTGCTTTATAGGTCCAATAAGCTGTGAATTTCTGGGCCTAAATTGACCGTATAGATGCCCATTATTTCTTACTCCACTAGTACTCCACTTACCGTAAGATCGAAAGAAACCCGAGTCTGTTAAAAGGTGCCAAGAATTCCGTGTCAGGTTCGTGCTTTCTGGGTAGACGGAAATACATGAGGTTTGCCGTCGGTGCTGGTGGAACATACTTGACGAATGAAGGAATCGGCGTCTGCAGACTTTGGAACTCCTTGATACAAGATAATTCAATTGATTTATTATTCAAGTCAAAGTTCATAGAAATAGGAAACAATAGGCCCTGAGTGTTGATTAATCGTCGACTTTGTCCGCCTGATGTATTATCTCATTCATAATAATATAATCGCTTAAAGGTTCTATTCGGGCTCGAAAACGGGTATACAATGACGAATAGCCAATGAAGTACACATAATATAAAACAAAGTCGCTATCAGCCGTCTGTCTGTCCCTATACATGCTTAGATGTTTAAAACTACGCAACGGATTTTGATGCGGTTTTTTTAATAGATAGAGTGATTCTTAAGGAAGGTTTATAAGTATAATACACATATGTAGCACCGAAGCCGGAGCGGGTCGCTAGTTTCTAATATTATATTACGAATTATCAATATTAATTCTTACCGGGGTTGTTTTAAGATACTCGAGGGCTAAGTTTATCTGTGGGGTGCTAAGCACTTTACCCAACACTTTCCTGGGAATGCACATCACATGCAAGTGAGTCACGGCTCGGATCGTGTAGTACGCGGGGAGGCCTGGGCAAACGTAATGAGATTTATCAGAAAAAAAAATTATAGTAAAACATATAGTATGTTTTACTATAATTTTTTTTTATAGATGGAGACTTGGAGTATTTATTTATTTTATTTATTGTACACCATAAAAACATACATAGAAAAATAACCATAAAAGAATGTGTACAATGGGCGGTCTTTTCGCAGAATGCGATTTCTTACAGACAACCTTTGGATGGAGCCAGAAATCAGGAGTTGGAAAAAAGGGGGTCGTCTAGTGTACAAAGAAAGAAAGAAAGAAAAAACATTTATTTAGCACCAGGCACGATGCAGCATAAATAAAGTATAAAAAAGACAATCAAGGTGTGACAGTGGAATTAATAAAAATATAAGAGTTGAAAAATTGAAACAGAAGAATTAGAAAAGAGACGCTGACAACATGCCTATGCTAAAAGGGTCACCCACTCAGTATAAGCCAGGCAAACAGGTTACCCAGCACTGATTTTCAGTGGGCACCCATGTACAATAATAATTAAAGAAATACATACAATATAATACTATCTACTTATACCTACATACCAAATAAATAATATGTACACTA